ATCCAAAAATGGAAATTCCGTGAAAACCCCCTGTATTTAAAATCTGTAAACTAGTCTCTATATGGGGTTACACGGATCTCATCGAAAAAGGTTATTAAAAAAAGTTTGTTTATATCCGAAATGATGAATCACTAGTATTTCCAAGACCGTACGGCATTCCGATCTACGTCCTTCGTAAAGCCACCTACACACGCGATGACTTTTTGTCGCTCGTTAAAATATTATGATTGGTTATTAATTGACAATGTAGTGTAGGTGTTTAGAACTTGGTAACATAGGTCGCGAGAGTTAATCACGGTGCCTATAAGATATGATTTTGGATTTAGATGATTCAGAAACTCTAAGTAGCGATATAACAACGATACCAAAACAGGCTCGTTTTACTGTTTAGGTAAGTAACGCAAAGTCATGCAAGCTTTGTAAGTACTCAGATTGGTTATTAGAGGTTAATATCGTTAATATAAGTTATACAATTGAACCCAGCCATGAATGTATTATTTACATGACTGGGTGTAATGTAAGTTTGTATGTAATGTTTGTATACACAGTCACTTTATCGCGTGTGATCAGAAGCGTACAGGATTGCGCGCGGGAAAGCCTGCATGCACAAACATGCGCGATTATCTGTTTAAATCTTTTTAAGCGATCGTTTCTTCGTGCACGATTGCTCCTGTTCATTTTTGTTACAACGGAAAGAGCATCTGTGGAAAGGCTAATAGTGCAAGATAGACTGCGTGAAACTGGCGTTTGTTGGAGTGCGCGATTGTGCGCGCGTTTAATGAGCGCTATCGCGCGGTCTTTCCCTTTTCCTTCCAACGTCTTTACACGCACGATAGAGTATCTGTGTAATAAAATATTCACATAGTTTCTCAAATTTCATGTTGTGTTGTGATATAATTAATTATTTTCGTCCAAATGTTAATTACACCCATTGGCATAGATGAAGTTTAAAGTTTTAAACTACACCTTTAAAATGTAATTTATTTTATATTCGATTGATGGATGGATGACAACACTGTATTACATCTTAGTAATCAGTAAGAGCGGTCGTTACAGTCAGTGACGTCAAACATGCTGACCAGCATGCAGGTGTGTTAGAGCACAAGAAGCATGATCACGTATAAGTTGTTATAGGTCTTGCGGTTTTTTCGTAGGTACGTAAAATTGAATAATAAAGCAACATTTTTAACCATAAAAAGAGTTTTATTTACCTTACTTTATGTTCAACTTGATTATGATTTTTAGCATGTTATTTTTTGCACTGGTAACTCGCCAAGACGACTACTACTACTACTACTATATTAGTAAGTTGTTCCGGTTTCGAATTGAATATTTCAAATGTTTGATCACCAAAGACACGTTAAAAACCTAAATATAACTCAAGCAGATTATTCAATTCGCAACTTCCAGTTAGGTCTAATATGTAATACCTAAATAAAACAACGAAATATTGGCAAAAATACTAATAGTGACGGTAGTAACAGTAGAGTTGATCGCAGCGCCCTCTGACACCGGTGCGAAGTAATCTCTCGAAGAAAACTCAACCCACTATTCCTTGAGAGCTGAGGCCTTTGGCGTCTGATACTCTCATAGTTCTACTGTATTGTTCGCCTGCTTGAAGACGGGCTGAGTTCGCTGGAAAGAATATTCAAATATGACGTCATATAGGAAATTAAACTATTTTTCCGGATTTATGACGTCATATTTATATTTTCCAATCGACTGTTAGTCCAGCTAGTTTTCTAACTATATAAATGTTGCACATCAAATTGCAACGGCACGTATAATTCATAACAATAGACTACAGAGACGTAGAGAGAAAGACAGAGAAGCTACACTAATTTGGGTAAGATGCAGCAATTACTATTAAAAAACTGTAATTAGAAACAAAGAGTGTAAATATAGATTTTAAGACTTTCATGCTTATTTACTAAATGGTTATCATTAATTACAGGTTTCCTCAGTGAAACTGTGACCATGGAGCGCGCAACAGTTTCGAAATATCGAAAAAATAAAAATAAATCACATCCTGGAAAGAAACTTGTAACTTGTGATAAAGCCTGTAAAGTTGCCTGCTTATCGGTATTGTGCGGTATCACGGAGAATATGATTTGCACGATTTAATTCCACCTTCCGCTTTCCATCATCGAGGGACTAGACGTAGGCTGGAGTTCCATGTTGTGAATATTACAAAGATTCGAACGAAGCGTTACGCTTCCACATTTATATGGCGAACGGCTATGGAATGGAATTCCTTGCTTGCAGGCTTATACCGTGGACGATATGACTAGGGCCTTTTTAAAGCGAGAGTGAATAGACATTATTTGGGTTTGCATGCTCCATCGTCCACCTCATTGTCACTTTCTATCAAGTGAAATGTATGTGTATGACAAACATTAAGAAAATAAACAAGAAGAAAAAATTGGAAAAACGAATTGGTTATGTGATTTTTTTTGAGATTGACATTAGATACGTTTGGGACGTGTCTGATACAAACATATTATGTTACGACTTTGCTAGCGGTAGCATTTTGTTGTTCCTATTATAAATATCAAGACAATTATAAAGGTATATTATAATTGATAATTGTCGTGATAGTTATCAATGATAAAATTATCACTTAGAACACCATTTAAAGTTAAGAAGAAGCAATGTGCCCAGGGAGTTGTAAACAATGCCATTTCCGAGGTATTAGATTGATTTACAGTTAATAACCTGCTTCTTAATGAGAAAAAACCAGATCGTGTACAATTTACTTTACGTAACGTTAGATAGACAGATAAAGTAATTATAGTTAGAAATGCAAAATTGAACCTTGAAAATACGTTTGTACTTTTATGTAAAAACTGAACACAAATTACAATAGGATTTGCAAATAAATAAGTTGTCGAAACTCTTACATTGCAAAGCGAAGTCGTTTACAAAAATTAAGAATTTTTAGACGTAAAAAAACCTCTATTTGAAATATATATATATTATACTATAAATATATTGATAATTTCGAACCCTAACTTTAAACAATAACGAAGTGTCAACAGCAAACAATACTATCTAATACACAAAAGTGTACTTTGAATTGAACCTTGAGGAACGCCCATGCTAAATGCAGATCCTGATAACCTCGTATCATTGACATCGACACTTTGAACCCTATCACTCAAAACATGTTTAAGTAGGCCGACCATAATGACGAAGTTTCCTGATTCAAATGTCTTAACAAGGTCACACGTGTCTATAGGAAACTTCTCGAACTTCAAATATAAATGTTTCATGAACTTAATATCAGTATAGGAAACCAAATAACATATATCAATAATACAATAATACCTCCTTGTGAAAGAATTCGTCCAGGGAACTATTGCCACCTTACCTAGTTTTCCCGCCAAGCTGTGAGCATTATTGAGTTCCGATTTGGAAGGGTAAGGGTGCTAATGAAATTACAGGCACATGAGACTTGTGACTTAAATCAAGTTCTGAATGCTACTGCAACTGCTATGGACAGGTTTGTCGCTTAACACCACTACCACCGGTGAACTGCTGGTGAGTAGCGACACCACGAACCCAGAGATCTCCTATACTATTATAATTTACTCTGTGGCCGAGCCTTAGCGAAAAGAAATAAAAGGGTTGATCCACATAAACTTATTTACAAATAAAAACGAAAAGGCCCAAAAGGGCATATATATATAGGCATATCTAATGATTTAAAAATAATAAATCACGTATAGTTTGAGTTTTCATGAGGGCGGTGAGGATTCATTTCGACATCCTAGCGTACTTCATGATCCTTTGGCGAAAGTAAACTATAGATGAAATTCCTACTTCATTAGAGCAAGTGAGTGCTATAAAAGAAGATAGAAGCAGCACGATATTGACTTTTTAATACTTCACCGAACCAACTTCAGGACTAATCTGTCATCAGTTTTTCATTCTTTCCCTTAAAAAGATAATTCAAGTAAGAATTCCTCGTTTTGATTTTTTTCTTCTCAGTGTTTGTATACAGTTCTAACGTAAAATTTATTTGCCGAAAATTGTAATTGGCCATCCATGTTTATTTTTGCAACTATTTATTTACCTAGCCATTGACTTACAAATAAATGGACGACGGATCTAATACAAAAACCACGAAAAAAATGTCCCAAGTCAACCTATTTAAACGTAGTGACATGTAAAGGAATATGAAAAAGCTAAAACGTTGAATTTAAATTGTAATGTCATCGCAGTGCTGTCTAATTTTGTTTGCTTCGCTGTCAGTCGAACAAACGAAGACTAAAGCGTGAATGACGCTCTATATACGATTTTAACGCCCTATAAGTTTGGACACTTTTTAGCGCGGTCCATATAATTGTAAGTCAATGTACCTAGCTGTTAGTTTCAAAAAATGTAAAATAAATAAAATTAATGATCTATGAATACGTCCTCTCGTTTTGGGAATTTTGATGGGAATGATGACGTAACAAATCAACGTAAGAATAGTGGAAGGAAAAAGGAATTCGAGAACGATTCAACATTTTTATAGTAAGTGACAAGGAACCAGTAAAGATAGTGATAAAAAGCATGGCATGACGAACAAGGAGGTGAGCATTGTTACAACCCTCACCATTAAACGTGCTTTCTTGGCTTTCCAGAGAGTAGTGCAAGAGCTATCTACTTGAGGTGTTAAAGTTCAGAATCAGTGTGGCCTTCCAGGCGTAGGCTATTTGTCGGGGGCCTTTCTAGCGAGTGGCGAACCATTGCCCGCCAAGTTTCAATTTATGAAACATTGTAAATGACGGATGTCCGTTATCTCATCCATCAATAAAAATGCAGTTTTTGCATTTGCATCTTTATGCAAGGCATTAACAACTATAGCACAGAAATGTTCGCATTTACAGTATTCATATCAGAGTCCAATGACTCTACATTTACCTCTTTTCAAAGAAAATCACGTCGTATTAAGTACTGGTTCTTAGTCACATTTATTCGTCGCAGTTTGGATATAAAGTACAGCGCGATCTTATGGACGTCAGTCTTGCGCAAGAGCTCAACTTGTTTGTATCTTTGATCTTTTAAAATATCTATTTAACGTATATTATTAAGAAAAATGGTGTCAAGAATTGTTTGCTTAACTATGCTGGTGGCAGTGGCGAATGCGGCGACGTTTATGGGATATCTACCACAGAAACCTTTAGAATTAGGTAATGTTTTTTTGTACTCAAGTTCTGCTTTTATTACGAATATTACGGCAGTTTTGTTCTTATAAGTATATTTTACGAATTCTCGGTAGATAATGTGTGAATTAGGCAGTATGTTACGACAGTAAGTGATAATTAACCACCTTTTACTCGTTAATAATATATTATTATAATATATAGATATGTATGTTTATGATATATATTATGTTAAGTATGTATACGTTTATTTTATCCAAATTAATATTATACATGCGAAGGGAACTGTCTGTTACGTTTTCGCGCCTAAACTGCTGAACCAATTTTGATGAATTTTGGTATAGAGATAGATAGGACCTAGAAGAAGAAAAAAGAAAGAAAATAAATTTTAAATAAGGGATGAAAGTTTATACGGAGAGCCAATAAAATTATGAAAATTAGTATAGTACAGTAGGCTGCTCGAAGTACTTAATCTAGGCAGACGCAGTCGCGGACATCAGGTAGTACCAAATTTTGGGTTTTAATATTAAGTTGTTCTTGTTTTAAGTGTAGCATCAATTTATTGTTCTTATTTCTGTTTTATCTCCATGGCATCAGGAGTCTATACAAGCTCAAATGGATTTGGTTGATTCCGCACAACCTTGGAAAAAATGTATAATAAAATTAAGGATATACGCTGATTACTATATGGTGTGAAAACAAAAAAAGTAAAAAAATTCATGATGGAAAAAAAACATAAACTTACCACGAAATTTTACAAGAAAACCGCTGTATTCAATATGTACTTTACATATACCAATGATTTTTTAAATATCAACTGAACTAAATACTCAGCTCATTTACTAAACTCTGTTTTAAGTGACCAATCCACATCGAATCAGCGTGGTGCACCATAGCGCAAAGCATACCTTATAATTCTCGTTAAAGGCCTGTGTATAGTGGAACATACATGAATTGACACTGTATAAACCTACTTTCATGTTTAAATTCGAATCTTGTTTCGCATACAAAACGAGTTTACAAAACTTTCATAAAAATTACGCATTACAAAACTAACGGGACTAAATTGCAATTCCGTATTACTTTCAACATTAAGCGCGTCTTCTCACATGGATATATAGTCGGTGTTTTGGTAAAAAAGCGAAAAGCGAAAGCGCCATTTTGAAAATTTTTTCAGCGAGTATGTTTTAAGTTTTAACGACTGTTTTAAAATATGTACGTCCTGGTTTTAAAATTCAATTTTCGTTTTAATTAAGCTCATGTTTTGAATTTGAATTGAAAATAAGACGTAAATATTTGAAACTGAAACATGCTCATGTGAAAAATTTTTCGAAATTGTTTCTTTGGCTCTTTTTACAAAGGATGATCTATATATAGTGTCTTAAAAGTAAAAACCATATACATATATTCGAGAAACACATTTTCGGAGAAGGAGCAAGATTAGAATTCCGAGGTTTTCATTTGAATAATTAAAACTTTTTTTTTATAAAAATAAACCGATCTCGAAAGTTTGCTTATCCGTTGTCGCTGTCTTATTTTCATTGTAATTAGATCTATGTGCCAAGTTTTATTGAAATCAGCTAACGGAAAGGGAGTGAAATTCAATAAATCGGATCCATTCTCTAATTTGCCACCCTTAGAGGTGGAATATTTTCCCCAAATTTCGAAATCGATTCATAAATACTGCTCTCTGTCACTCTGTCTAGGACCTTTGACCAAGAGGTCCACGCAAAGAAATATTTGTATGGCCTACATTTATTTTTCCCTTGAGTTTGAGTGTAATTTGTGGTTGTATCCAGTGGTCCATGGCACCCGCGATACAGTATGAGTGTGTGCGTGAAAAAACAGTTTGTGTAAGCGCATAACATACACACAAAAATACAGACGAACCTCAGTTAGTTCTCAAACCTTCTCCTTATGTTGAAGTCGGTTAAAAATACAAATAATTTTTAAATACTTTAGGCTTCCTTTTCAAGCTACATACATATTTTCATTAAGCAAGTTCGCAATAAGCCAATTTTATCACCGTCTATCAAAAGTCACTGCGTTGCAAGGGTCAACGATGCTTTACAAATTTGACCTTAGATATTTATTTTAATATGAATAAATGTTCTAGCTCATACTTCAAAAATAGTTGTTACTTGTAATTTTTTTAACTTTATGGAATATCACTATGTTTGACCACCATGATATTCAATTATTTTTGTGAAACTATTCTACTGTTTGTTATAATATCAATACAAAGATTGAACACTTAGAAAAAAATCCTTCTATGCGGCTCGATTCGCACCAACGTCTTTCAACAAACTATGCCAACCTTACAAATGTTTCTACGTGCTTGTTGCAGGTTCTTATTTTTTATTTTAAACGACTTTTTTGCCGTAGTGCTATCTGTAAGAAATCTATTTCTTCACTCAGCCAGGCACCTTAACAGCTACCAGCAGCTGAATAGAGATGTCGCTTTAATAATCGTAATTTTTTCAGTTTATTGAATGTCACGATGTTTGACCACAATGATATTCAATTATTTTTGTGAAATTACTCCACTAATAATTATAATTTATACTATATTACGTTATAATTATTATAATAAAGATCGAAACACTTTGAAAAAACTCATTCGATCCAGCTGGATTCGAACCAGCACCCTCAGGCAATCCGTACCAGGTGCTCAGCCAATTAAACCACGCAACGAATGAACAGACCTTACGAATTTTTCTGTGTTTGTTGCAAACCTTTTTTTTATACACTACACTTTTTACACTTTTTACATAGCCCCGCACCAGTGAAACCCTGTGTCGCGGGTGCCATGGACACACACATATACAACCACAAATTAAACCCAAACTCACGAGAGAAATAAATGTAGGCCATACAAATATTTCTCCCGGCCCGGGAATCGAACCTGGGACCTCTGCGTGGCAGTCCGGCGTGGTAACCGTTCGGCCACGGTGACAGGTAAAAATCTTTGTTTTTAGTTTTAACGACTTTTTGCCGTAGCGCCACGTGTGATAAATCTATTTCTTCAGTTCTTCTAGTTGTTACTTATTGCTGTAACTTCTTTTCTCAATTTGATGGATTGTAGATGAAAACCTATGGGCCTCATAAGAAGGCTCAAGGTCACTCAGCGGGCAATGGAGAGAGCGATGCTCGGTATTTCCCTGCGTGATAGAGTCAGAAATGAGGAAATCCGTAGGAGAACTAAGGTAACTGACATAGCTCGAAGAATTGCTCAGCTGAAGTGGCAGTGGGCGGGGCACATAGCTAGGAGAACCGATGGCCGTTGGGGCGGAAAGGTTCTTCAATGGCGACCGCGCACCGGACGACTCTCAGTGGGTAGGCCCCCCACCAGGTGGACCGACGATCTGGTGGAGGTGGCGGGAAGCCGATGGATGCGGGCAGCGCAGGACCGATCGTCGTGGAGATCGTTGGGGGAGGCCTATGCCCAGCAGTGGGCGTCGTATGGCTGAATGATGAAGATGAAAACGGAAGCCACATGCAGTCCTTGTCATAACTAACGCATTCGCATTTTGGTAACATCCGAGGTATTGGCATCTAAATTTGGTTTTATTTGAAAAATATCAGTTAATATGCATTTTTATATGCTGATTTCGCTTAACAATAAAACTGAAACTAAATGATATGAAAGAAATCGCGTATAAGGGGTTGTAGATCTACTTTCGCTAACTCGCGCGATTTGCGCGAGAGCTACATTTCTTTTACCATACTGGTAATATCAAGCGACGACGGGACAAACAAGTCGTGCGCCTGGTGGTAGGCGACACGCCTATTCATAACATTAGAGCTTTTAATAGCAAATATTTTAGGAGTACTGCCACTGTGCCCACACTGTGCCCCTGACCCTGAGATATGGACAAATCCCATGTATTTGTAATTTCACTATACATAAAGCGGGGAGCTACTGCAATTCTCGAATATAGAATGTCGCGCTTTATGTCGCTCTCGCGCAAGTCACTCCTTGTCGTGTAAACTTACAAATATGTTAATAACTCAATTTCGCTAAAAATATCGATGACGTAAGCTATGATAAGGGGGGCAGCACGGTCCAGTCGAGGCTTTCTTCATTGGACCAGTCTAGACAATTCATTTACAACCAATAACAATCAGATTAAACAAATAAACAGTAACTCATATGTTGGTCCGCGTCTGCCAATCCGTATGGTCATATATAAATTTAAGATATACGTTTATAGACAGTTTTAGTCTCGTGCCATTAAAGAAAATTCAATTTCCTTGAAATTTCTCGATGAAATTGAATACCGAAATAGCCTCTGATTTTATTTCCCGTTTTATTTAATAACGCGAATGAATTTATCTGCCAAATTTGGTTTAACATGTTAAATTTCAATTTAAGTAATATTAAGTTTGTTGAATATTTTTCGAAAATACTGCACTAGTTTATTTATATAAAGAGCGAATATACAATAAGAACAAAAACTTTCATAGATTTCTCACAGATGGCGTTACGGCAGAAAAGTCGTTAAAACCCAATAACAAAGCAATAAGCACATAGAAAAATTCGTAAGGTCTTAATTCTGTAGCTCAGTTGGGAGAGCGTCAGGCACGGTATGCTAAAGAATTGGTTCGAATCCACCCGAATCGAAGGAGTTTTTCTCTTTCTTAGGAATTTATCTTTGTATTAATATTTTTTTTTTATTAAATCACCATACCATAAAATTTAACAGCGCCTCTAGGGGTTAGAAGGCCTAAAATTTGCAGTATAATATTATAAAGAATTTTACACGGTTGCTAACAACAACTATAAACGGGGGTACTGTCCACAACTTTTATCGAATATAAAAAGTCTCTTCTGTAGTACAATTTGTATTGAGGACATGGTATATATTTTACAATAGTTTTATTAGAACACCTAATTCCGGACAATAGAAGAATTACCCGAAGTTTTCCTTCTGTAAAATTTGTAACACAAATTATTACTGTAGGTACTGTATATATGTTCTAGATAGGTAGGTGGATTTGTAATCCATAGAAATCCTACCTAGCAC